AACAGAGAAGACGTTATTTATTCAAATCGTTTTATTCGAAAACAAAAACGCAAAAGTTAAAACCAATATTTTATTTTATTTTGTTTTACTTTATTATATTTATCTTGTTGATTTCTTTAAAAAGATGTCATTTGTTGTTCTTGGGTCGTTCCATGGGTACTCAACTATAAAAACACAAAAGTCTCAAAAACTATTTTAACATATTCTATCTTGTAGAGAAATTAATGCTGATGATTTTGATTAAAAAAATTATTTAATTTAGTCAAAGGTGGGTGTGAGTGTGGTGTATTAAACGATTTCTATTTGGAATCAATCAAAAGCTAGCAAGACGCGTTTCGATTAAGTAATCTTATCAATTGCTGCTGATTTTATAAAATGTTTTTAAACAATTAAATTCTCCTACTATGTTATACTATTGTAAGAAGTTTGTGTGGGTGAGGGTGTAAAGAAGCTGCTATGGCCGGTTTCGTCCCTGCTAAAGGACTCATCAGATGGCTTAATCTATTCTGAATTTTCAAAAGAAACTCCAAAACAAGATCTATCTTTAATTTTTGTTGTAGTAGAGTGTTGCAGATTGAGTGAATTATAATTGTTTTTTGTGGTAGACGACAGCCTTTGTATTGGTGTCATTATTGTATAAGGTTTGGTTTTTGTTCAGCCTTCGATAATGTGAAATATACGAAAATTTGTTCGTAGAGGTTAATCTGAAATGAAATTCATTTATGTTTGGATGGGTAAGAAATCGAGAAAGTGTTGGGCAGTTTTTTTTATTTAACTTATTATGTTCGAAGCGTGGTTAACATAATAATGAAAGAATAGGAAAAGCTAGCAGTAGTGCATCAGTGTTTTGATGTGTTCAATAGGTAGGTTTAGTCGGTATTAGTGACGTTGAAATAGTCACTGCTGATCGAAAAGCAATATCGTTGTTGTTCTTGATCAGTTGTGTCGCGCATATTTAAGTTTCGTTGCACTTTGTTACGTGGCACTGTTGCAATCAAATGAAATACAATCGTCAGTAGGAAAGTGGATTCAATTAAGGTTTTTTTCGAAAAGGACTCACTTATTCTCGGTCGATTTTGGCACAATGTTCGTCTTGAACGTTTTCGTACTAGTTCAGAGTTAGCATCTCGTCAATTTCGATTGCCAACAATCATTCTGACATCTTGTACAGGTGTATTGTTGAAAACTTGATCGTAGACCTGATACAGATCTCGTTTGAATGAATACAAACGCTTTTCATGTGTATAATGAAGGATGAGTTTGTTCTTGTTGTTCTTGTCGTTTATCTTGTTTTCAGTTTGCAATTTTGTTGTCTCTTTCTGTTCTTCATCTTTTTGATCATTATCGATGTCCGCCTTTGATGCGTTAATTGCTACTTGTGATTGGCGATGTGTTGGTTGATTGATTACTTTTTCGCACATCAAGAAAAATTCTTTTCATGTGTTATAAAAGGCATAAATGAATTTGTTGATAGGTAATCAGTAAAAAAAATTTGAAATTCTTTATCAATAAATGATGACGAATACCTGAAGTATACGAGATCAAGAGATATGGTAGTAAAGAATCGAATAGAAAGCAATTTACCCATTTAACAGGAGAGTTAATTTAATATAACATCGTTCATTATTAAATGTCTCAAATGTCGATAAATATCTTACGGCACGTGTAAGACTCGTTTGTATAACATTAACAAATGTATGTTTTGGATGATCGAAAATAAAAGGTACAGCATAGGGTTCAGCTGCTGGTTTATGATATACCATTGTGGATAAATTACCATTATTATTTGTAAGAAGAACATCAAGAAAAGGAAGACTTTTACTAATCTTATATTCTAATTTTATATTTGGATGCCATGTATTCGCTTCATCTAGTGCTTTTTTCAATTCTTTTTCTGATTTATTCCATGTCATGAAAATAGCATCGATATATCTAGAAATAGTTAAAGAAATGTCCTTGTTTTCTTTTGTATTACTTTAGTTTTGATGTGTATTATTAACTTACCGTTCAAAAAATCACCTGTCTTGTCTTGTCGACGAACAAGTTCTTTTTGCCATTTCCACATAAAAATATTGGCTAATGTTAATGTAAAGGATGAACCCATTGCACCACCAAGAATTTGCTTATACATTTTTTGTCATAGACAAAATAATTTTCTTTGAATACAATTGCAGCTAACTCTCGTATTGTACCAAGATCAATTCCTTTTACTTTGACATATCCATGTACACGAAGAAATTCCACAAGAATATCAAGTGCTTCATCTTGTAGTAGCATTGTACATAAATTACTAATATCAAATGTACAAAAAAGAGTAGAAGGTTTTAAACGATTTCTTCTGACATATTGATGAAATTTTTTAATTAATGATGAACCATCAATGATAGTTGTCATTTGACATTTACTATCAAAAATAGGTCCTATTATTTCTGATAGATAGTTTGAAATCTTTGTTGTTGAAACTCGAATTGTATTTTCAATCGGTCGAACTGGGATATCATTCTGAAATTTCATATACAAAAAATGACGAAAATCTAATAATGATCAGCAATGATATCAATACCTTATGTGTTTTAGGATTAAAATATAAATGAGCTAGTTCATATTTATCATGATTAGGCAACATTTTATTATATTGCCGTAATAAGATAAGTTTTTTCCCACGACGTCGATTGAGTAATTGAATAACTTTATTTAGAATTTCATGGAATGGATTCTCAGATAAAATCATGAAAGCATTTGTATCTTGAAAGAATTTTTGTACTTTTTTCCCGCATTCAATTGCTGAACCAATATAAAAGTTGTGATCTTTATCGGTTAGACGGAGAATGAGATGCAACTTTTTAATTTTTCGTCGAATCGATTCAGCTGTTGTTGCTTGTTCGTGAGATTGTATTAGATCTTTATATGATAATGGAGAAAAATAAGAATGATGGAAATATTGAAGAGGATTATTAGAATATTGTTTGAAAATAGATGCTGTCAAAGGAATAGAATGATATTCATTGAGATGGTGTTGAACTTTTTTGATAAATATTTTTATGTTCTTGTATAATAAGAATTTCTTGTTGATGTCGAGGACGGATAGCAGTTTGATTTGATCGTATACAAGATGGACCTAAAAGAAATAATAATTAAGAAAAGAAAACAAAGATAATCCAAATAAATGACATTGTTCATTGTCTCTTTGTCTTTTCTCTGTCTCTATCTCTCTATGTTACTAGAAAATATCTTACCAAGCGAAAGATGATTCCATTGACATATATTAAAAAGCTTGTCCGTAGGTAACGCACTCACGTTTTGTCAACTTTCGGGCTGATCTTTTTAGCAACAATAAAGCTTAGAGCCTTGAAACTTTGAGAATACATGTATGTTATGATGCACTGTAACATGTATAAGTTTCGTTCTAATTGGCTTTAGACTGTCGTTTTTTATATGAAAAATACATGCAGGTAACGCACTCACAAAAAAGACCCTCCTTATCCTAGGTGGTGTCACATTGTGTGAAATTTCCGCGAATCGTTGTATCGTAAACAGGATAATTGTACGTTAATGTATAAAGGACAGATAGGGCTCTCTATATGAAAAATTACCTTTCAAATCTGTTGAGTTGTTCAATAATTATGCTCTAAACATTAGGGTAACTCACTCACGGTTTGGTGACGCACTCACTTTTCTTCGGAGCATTTTATCCTATCCTATAGTAGTAACTTTCTCTTTGATTGAAAATAATGTAAAATTATCTATATTCTTCTTATCTTGAACAATCAAGAAGTTTCACAATAATATTAGTATAAAACATTAAGTAATATCACAAAGTCTATCATTAAGGTTTTTACAAAAAATAATTAAAAATGAACTGTCCATTTTTCACTCGAACAATCATATACCGGGTGTTGCAAAAGTTTTGCGACATTTCGAAAAATGTATTTTATTTCTATAGAACAAGGAGTAATAATATAACAACAAAGTGCTTGAAACACTACAAGAGGGTACTACTAAACCTAG